AAACTTACTTACTTTTTAGAAATACTCTGCAGTGGAATGAAAGTCAGAATGTTTGTCCTTCAGGAGTCTCTTTGCAGGCCTGGATAAACGTTACAGAGATGCCTGAGCCATCTGGGATTTGCCCTGCTAACTAGGCAATTCCACCCCATCATCCTTTCAATGTAAATAACTATCCTTAATTAATGGAAATGCAATATATATTAGGAAGAGACTGAGTAAATTAACAAATGCAGGACAAGAAGGCATCAGATGAAGATCTGGCCCCTTCTTCTTGTTAATTTAGGCCAGTTAAAAAACAATGTGAAATACAAACCTACAGTTTTTACACAGTACAGCAACATTGAAATGAAATGTGTTCTAGGCTTTTGTTAGAATAAATAATTGCAGGCAGAAGTCAAGTCAGTTAGGCATGTAAATAGCTGGATTTGGGTATGCAGTCCAGAACAGATGACTCCTGTACCCAGTTACTAACAATAACAGAAACGGAGGCCAGACTTGGAAAATCCATTTCTGATAGTGATATAAAAATAAACAAATGTGGGTGAATTTAACAGTGACATCGATATTAATCCTCCATTCATGCTCTTTTGGGAATTTGAAAGGTAAATGTAATCAAGTAAAAATTGAATTTACCAATCTGCATGTGCAGTCTCATCTTTCCCGTTCACGTCCATTCCTCAGCCCCTTCCCTTTTCACTTTGCTTTTCTTTATACCAACTACCAATGGAGTGCCAAATTCCCCTAGCTTTGTTTAATTATTAATTTCTTTGGAATGACCCAAATGTAAAACTAGAGCAATGCAGCGGGGACATAAGACGCTTTTTCTTCAGCTCTGCGCTCCTGTTCTGCCTCCCTTCCTACAAATGCCTGTCTTTTCTCCCTTCCTTTGCTCTCCCTTCTCTCCTTTCTTCAGACTCAACCACCCTTGAAAAATCTCTTTGAGAGATGGGAGAGAAACAAATTGGGCTAAGCAAGGCATTTGCTTGCCACAGTTGCATTCCCTCTGTAGAGCCTGCAGGTGGTGACAGCTGGGCTCTGTCATTGCTCCCATACATGTCACATGTGGCAGGTTAAGGCTCTGCAGGTGTAGCATGATAATATTTTATGAAGTAACAAAACCTGTGACTTTATGTTAACGGCAACAGGATTGTGAACGGGAAAAAAAAAGTCAGCTTGATTCTTAAGGGAGGTTGCTTTGTAAAATTCCTTTCACCTTTTTACTTCCCAATGGAGCACATTTCAGCCAGAATACAGCCTGCACAGGGAATCACTCGTTCTCTAACCGCAGTAAGAAATTTCTGGGACAGCTATGTCCTACACAAGCTGCGATGCAACGAGGGGCTCTCAAATTGAGAAGAAACTGCCATAGCAGAGGAAAGCTGTAACAAGATTAAACAGGGCATTGCTTTGATACCAGTGGGGACGTGGGCTGCACAAACTCTTGAGCAGACCAGAAGAGCAACTCACGGAGGGAAGCAGGGTGATGAAACAAGTAGTCAAAGGTTAAGGGAGTTCCTCAGTAGCTATGATTGCTGTACAGCTGAGTCAGTAGCCTTGGTGGGGAAGGTAAAATTTCATGAAGAGAAAGCAGAATGGGTCAGACCCCAGAAATTTCACAATCTGACCTAAGAAAAATTAAATTTTCAAGTAAGATGGGGGGCGTCACATTCTAGCTCTTCATAATTCCATTCTGCCTCCAGAATGGTTCCTAGCTTTTACGTTGTTTTAATTTACTGTTATTCTTATTGCCATTTTCTTCTGTCTGCTGTTGCGTTATTTGTTCATGATTTAGTGCATAGGCTCTTTGCACCAGGGACTGCTCGCTGCGTGTTTTTTTCTGTGGGTGGGGGTTCCAGCATATTACCAGAAGTGCTGTGGTGATAAAAATAATGGTCGTCATCGCCCTCTGAAGTGGAGAATTTGTGTTTCAAAGTTCAAGTCTCTGCTTTCTGCTTAAACTATTATACAACACTAATTTTTGTGATGCTAGTAATAGTTAGTACAGTGTGTAGCCAAGATGGGTGGGGGGGGTGTGGGTGTGGGTGTGGGTGTGTATATACATACTTATATATATTTTTTTAGGGTACACTGGTACTACTGCTTGCAAAGTAATGAACCAACATGCAGCTTCTTGACAAGATAAACTAGTTGTGATGTGTACCCTCAATTCAGTTTTCAGTGCTCAAGTTATCTTGGGCAGCTGCACTACAGACACCTGTAACGCTTGTAAAGGGGCAAAGGAGGAGCTAGTTGGTGATTATTTCTTTGCTACCAAATAACACTGAATAGCGGCTTCACAGTGAAATAGTGAACTGAAGCACAATCAGAGTAGGTTAAAACACTGGCTGAAACGAGCTCCTTCTTCCACCTGTCTCTGTAATGGCTGGATATTTACTGAGTGGAAGTGTTTTTGTCACAAATGTCAGCTACATTTGATTTTTTTTTGGTTACTAAGAGGTATTTTTATATCATTTGCAAAGTAAGAGGCATACTTTCTATTGCAGTGCAAAAGTGTTGTAAAAAAGGAGTCATTAATGTAAAAAGACAAATTTATGTTTTTATTGCATCTTTATATGAGTAAATCTCTCTTCTGGACATCTGCAGGGCAAAAAACAAAATGGACCCCCCCCCCCCCGGCCCCCTCCTAGTGGTGTATGGCACAGAATTCATTGATTGTGGTGTAAAACAGCAGAAGAAGATGGAAGAGAAAGTGTAAAGGCTTATTTAAGCATGTGGATGAATTTTTTTTCTTCTACATCCATCCTTCCCTTCTAATAGTTGAAAACATGGTATTTCTGAGCAGGAAGTTTTTTCTTTGCAAAGGATAAGGCAGGAAATGAGGTTAACAAGGAACAAAACCATTTTTTCCTTGCCAAAAGGGAGAGTCTCTCAGTTCCTGAAGTGATTCTAAAGGTCAGTAAGATTCAGTGACTCCATATATCTCAGTGCTGAGCTTTTAATCTATAAGCAATTACTTGCTTGGGCCTGCCAAAAGAGCAGGCAGCTTATTAATATGTAGTAGTCAAGTATTTTTGGTTTTGGTTATTGCCTAAAATACTAATTGGCTGCTTTCCCCTAAATAAGTGTGTTTTTGGAATTTCATATATTGCACTTTCTCCTTATTACTATTCTCCGCTTCGCTGCACAATATCTGTGGACCAGTAAAAACTTTCTGTTTTTTTCTAACTGAAAAACAAGATATCTTGTGTAGGAACTATACCAAGTGCAGCTCAGATTTATTCAGGATCCAGTCAAAACATGCTAAGGTTGTAAGTCTCATGAGTATGTCTTCTTACTTAAGGCTTAAGCCTTTCTTAAGGCTTAAGAGAGCTTTAGTGGGAGAGGTGAAATCACACATTGACAAGAGAGGGAACTTGGAGCGTCTATGCGTTGCCTTTCTTCTGATGAATGTGCTGTTATAGTAATTAGTGGTTTAGAGCCCTTGCTACTACTAGTGAACAGCAAAAAAATCAGACTCAGGCAGAATCTGTATTAGCCTTTCTCTTCCACCCTTCCAGTTCTCCAGTTTTATTACTTGGCCCAACTGGAAGGGTGGTGGCAATGTTACATCTGGCTATCATGTGCCTGGTTGCCTGGTGTCTCCCCCCCGCCG